AAACAAGATCAAATGCAATGTTTGACTTCAAAACGTGGTGAGTTCATGGATCAAGACCAAAAATATGAACATGCATGAAGAAATCTTCATGAAACAACTTCAAAACTCAACAATATGAACATGCATGCAAGATTTAAGCTACAATTCAACATGTTAGAACCAATTCTAGACTTAGATCCCCTAAGACTCATGAACCATGCAAGAACTAACTTCAATTCACAAATGAGAGGATGAAATTTCTACCTTATGTCTTGAATTCAAGATGTAGAGGCTCAATTATGCAAATAAACCTTCAATATCTCTAGATTCACAAGCAATTCTTCAAGTTGAATGCAAAATCTCCTCTCTCACTCTCTCCTACGGTTTGTCTCAAGGAAAATGGCTGAGGAAATGTTGATTCTAAGTCTCAAAATATGACATGGAGTGGGCCACTAAGTGGCAAGGTTGTAAATAAGGCCAACTCTTGCAATTTATCAATATTTAATCTAATTTAAACATACCAAATCACATTTCAATCAAATATACCATAAAATCACCTAAATTCCAATTAGCATAAAAAATTAATCAATTTCTGGTTCGGCCGCCGATAAGGCCTTCAATTTGCAGTTTAAAACATAAAACACGAACAGATAGTTCACTGACAAACAGATAGAAATGCATTTAAACTAATACACTTAATCAATTAACTCAGAATTTCAATCAATTTAATTACTTATCATGATCAGTCTCAGTTTAGCAGTAATCAGTGGTGTTATCAGTAAACAGTAGTGAGGGTTGTTACAGTTTTATTTCACTGTATTTTTATTTATTTATTTTTTTTTTCAGGGGTCTAACTCCACAAGGCTTCAGAATTTTTTGAGTGAATTCCTTAGTTAAGAACTCTGCTAATAGAGAACAATTTTTGTTGGTAAATTTTGTCAATTAGCTAAAAGCTTCCTTGATGGTGTTGTTGTTGAAGAAATCATTTGTGAGCTTGCAATGATAAATGTAAATAAATGGCAGTGGTGGTGAGAATTGAAACTTCATATATCAGCACTTCTTTTTGTTATTTTTGCTCCCTTTTGATGTATACATTTCTTTTGAAATGTAATGAAATACAGCAGTACAATAATTTCATTTTTTTTTTTTTGTTGAAAATATCAATTGTCATAATTATGTACTTTTGTGTATATTAATAGTAATGAATTTAAAAGAAGAGTAAAATGGAAAATTCATGTCATTTTTGTACTTAATTTTTGAAAAGGGACTAATATTTTAAAATAATAAAAAATGAAATAAATGATTAATATTTTTAGATTGAGAGAGTATATTATAACAATGTATTAGTCCCTCAAAATTCTCTAAACTTCTAACTTTAAAATCTAATAAATGTTCACATTTCTCTGACGTCCTTCTTTAGTTATGTTTTACAGCAATGATAGAGACCCCCTTTGTGGAGGACCCCCACAACCCCCTTTGTGATCCACACCATTCATGATGTGGACCCCACACATACATGAGTGGACCCCACACATCATGAATAGTGTAGATCAGTAAGGGAGTTGTGGGGGTCCTCCACAAATGGGGTCTGACTCATTTTTCTTATGTTTTAATGACAATTCTAGAAGGAAGTAAAAGTGTGATTATAAATTCTTATAATTCAGTGTTGCCCTTTTATTTTTGTGGACTCCACATCTATATGAGATATTTAGTCATTTATTTAATAAAAAATTTGATATCTCTAGCATTACTTTTAATTATAAGAAAATGCTATAGATCCTAAATTTTTTACTAAATAAATGACCAAATGTCTCATATAGGTGTAAACCCCACACTCGTGTGGACCTCACACCTATGTGAGATATTTGGTCATTTGTTTGGTAGAAAATTTGATATCTCTAGTATTACTCTTAATTAAGGAAAATGCTAAAGGTTCTAAATTTTTTACCAAATAAATGACTAAATATCTTATATGGGTATAGATCTCATACCCATGTAAAATATTTAGTCATTTATTTGATAGAAATTTTGGTATCTCTAGCATTGTTTTTAGTTATATTCACATTTTGCTGACGAATAATGCCATATGCAATAATTAGTGTATTAATTAGTGTACTAATTGATGATGTGACATAATGTAAGATATTTTTGATATTTATAATTTATATAATAAGTGATGTTAATAATAATATCAAACTAGTGTTGATACACTAATTAATATATTGATTAGTATATATATCACCACCGTTTCTCTAACATCCTTCTTTAGTTATGTTTAGTCCTATTGAGGACCCCCAACAGGAGAAGACCCCCAGCACCTCCACCTCCACGTGGGGGCTGCCAATGCATGAAAACCAAAAAAAAAAAAAACTATTGTTTTAAACCAATCAAAAGGGATCCACAGCACCCCCACTTGAGGTCTCATGCATTTTTCAGTTATGTTTTAATGACAAATTCCAGAAGGAAGTAAAAGCGTGTTTTAATTCTTGATTACATCTTACATAACAAATCACATTTTCAAACCGAGTTGAAGTTTGGCCACCGCCACCCTAATAACCTATTATGATTTCACATCTCTGTAGGAATATGAATTATTTAAGAGAAAAAAAAAAGGGTTAGTAAACTCGTAATTTTTAAAATTCTATTTTTGAAAATGTAATTCATATTCTCTCCATTTGATTCTTATCATCTAAACATATTTTGTTTTCTTATTCACATTTTTTTCCCCTTTCTATATATGTTATAGATACAATATATCATATATAATAAAAATATATAAGCTTTGCATACCATATGTAAGACATACCTAAGGATTCCTATAGATTTATTGTCTAAAGCAAGAAATAGATCAATCCATTTAATATTTTGCAAGAAGCAAAAAGTTTACCATAAAAATAAAAATAAAAACAATAAAATGTAAGAAGAATCTCCAGTCATATGGTACTGGGGTCATTGGGGTGCTTCCCACTGAGGTCTAAAGCAAAGTTTATCATATTTTAGCCAAAAAAATTAAAAAATTACTAAAAAAAACTTATTTCCAAACGAAGCCTTAATTAGATTCTTAAGAACTGAATCAACTTCAAAAAAATATTATTGGAAACACACATGTCAATGGAATAACGTTGTTGACACAATTTTTTTTAATAAAAAAATAAATAATACAGAAACTGTCCATTTAAATTAAAAAAGAATTGAAGATGTTTTTCAAATACAAAACAGTGGTCACCACGTCTCGTTCATGATTCTATGAGAAAACCATTTTCCAACTTTCGAAAAATTTATTTGTCTTATTAATTGTTTGTCAATAAAACTACTGTTTTTTTTATAATTTCCATTAACAAATGTCAGTTCCAAGTTCCAATCAAATATTCATTTGAAGTTAACGTTTTTTTAACAAAATGATCCTTGTAATTTATTTTTTGTATCAATTTAATTTTTATAATTTTAATTGTATCAATTCCATCCTTTAATTTGGTCCATTTGAAAACATTCATAAAGAAATTAGACAGAAATCAAAGTAAAATTTGTCAAAAAAATTACTGTTGCTTTTTAATTTCCATTAGCAAATGTCAGTTTCAAGTTCCAATCAAATATTCATTTGAAGTTTGTAACGTTTTTAAACAAATTTTACTTATGGTTCTTGTAATTTATTTTTGAATCAATTTAATTTTATAATTTTAATTGTATCAATTTCATCCTTTAATTTAATCCATTTGAAAGCATTCATAAAGAAATCAAAAAATCAAAGCAAAAATGGTTCATTTAAAAGAGAATTATTATTTTTAAATTGTATATCAATGGCTAAATCATTTTGGAGAAAAAAAATAAAATATTTTGTCGATTGATTTCAGTTCAATTTTAAGGAGGTATTATCAATTAAATTAAATTAATAAAAGTGAAAATTCAAGAATAAAATCGATACAATTAAAACTATAAACCAATCTGACAAAATATATATATATATATATAAATTACGAGTGTAATTTGTTTAAATATTTTTTTTTCCCACCAAAATCCAAAACACTAGAGTAAGGGTCTACATTTTATATGATAATTATATCATATTCTACTCCTAATTATGTTCTACTCCTAATTATTAGTTTTTTATTATTATTATTTTTTATGTAAAATAACAATAATATTACATCTTGGGACTCAAAAAACAATAATATTACATCCACACAATTTTTTCTTCCATAATCTCCACAAATGAGGTGGCAAGCAAAATTTCAAAAAACGATCCACTCTAAAATTAATATAAAACTTACATTATATCTTATCATCTCATTTGCGAGAAATGTGAAAATAAAATTGTGTTGATGAAAATTGTTTTTAAATAACTTTTTTTTTGGTAGTATCTAAAATTTTGCTTAGGAGCCCCCGACAGATCACGTTGCACACGTCCCCCTTGTATAATCAGTACAAACTTAAACTTGGAAAAGTATTCATCTACACACCTCGGGACTCTTTTTTTTTTTTGTTTTTTGATAGATCGACCACACATACCTTAGACTTGACTAGTCATCCAACCCCAAACTTATTAGATATTTTCGGAATATCAAACTCAATAATATTCTCTCAATGAAAATTTTGTAACATATATTAAGGCCTTGTTTTACGTATGCTTGTTTTAGTCTAAAAATTATTAAAAAATTGAAAAGTTTATAATTTATATTAGAAAGTCAAATATTTTATTTTTTCTTTACTTTTTACATATCTTTTTATAAAAGATTAAAAATCATTTTAAATATATTAATTTTTTATCTCATATTCTAATTAAAAAAGTATTAAAATAATATATTCCTTAGCGTAGTTTGAGTATATTTTATTTTAAAATTTTTTAAGTATAATATTAATTTAAAAATCATATAAACAATATTATATGATATTTTAAAATCAACGCTTATAATTACAAACGAACAAAACACGCTCATTCTCTTTTGACGCTCATTCTCTTTTTCTCTCTCTTCGCTTTTGGCAACATGATTTAAATTCTATTCTAGGGATTGGGAACACGCTCATTCTCTTTTGACGCTCATTCTCTTTTTCTCTCTCTTCGCTTTTGGCAACATGATTTAAATTCTATTCTAGGGATTGGGATTTTTCATTGATTAAAAAGTAGCCCATTGATATTCCATTGATTGGGGAGTAACCCAAACCTACACACATCACATTGACATGGCTAAACTAATCATCAAACCCAATCACAGCAAACAATTCAAGATCATTCTCTTTGGCTGCTTCATTTTCTGTTCTCTACTTCTCTACTCCCAGTCCTCATCTTCATCAGGTAACAATGGTCTCTCCTTCTTTTCAAATTTATTCCTTCAACAAAATTCAACTACAAAGCCTGTTTCCAATTCATCATGTTCTGGTAAATACATCTATGTTCATGATCTTCCTGGCAAATTCAATCAAGAAATAATCAAGAATTGTTCTTTGCTAATCAAGTGGCATGAATCTGAAATGTGCCAGTCTTTATCAAACATGGGTCTTGGTCCTAAGGCAATGAACTCTCAGGGGATTCTCCAAAACAAGAGCTGGTTTGTCACAAATCCATACATGTTGGAAGTCATTTTTCACAATAGAATGAAAAATTACAAGTGTTTGACTAACAATTCATCGATTGCGTCTGCGGTGTACGTACCATTCTATCCAGGCCTTGATTTGGGTAGATTCCTCTGGGGTTTCAACGCGTCGATGAGAGATTCGACATCCATTGATCTCTTCAATTGGCTTTCCAAAACACCCCAATGGGAAAAAATGTTGGGTAAGGACCACTTTTTGGTGCTAGGGAGGACTACTTGGGATTTTAGGAGACTAATTGATAATGACACTGAATGGGGCAACAAGCTCCTGTATTTGCCTGAAACAAATAACATTACAGTTTTAGCAATTGAGTCTAGTCCTTGGATTTATAAAGATTTTGCAATTCCATACCCTACTTATTTTCATCCCTCGAGCGATGAAGAAGTGTTTCAATGGCAGGACAAGGTGAGAAGGCAAGAAAGGCCTTACTTGTTCTCATTTGTTGGCGCTCCACGACCCACAATTCAAGATTCTCTCCGGGCTGAGATCATCAATCAGTGTTTGAATGCGAGTGAAAAATGCAAATGGGTAGATTGTGGTTCCGGTGACAAGTGTAACGGTCCAATTCACGTGATGGAAGTGTTTCAAATGTCAAATTTCTGCTTACAGCCTCGCGGGGATACATATACTAGGCGATCAACTTTTGATTCGATCTTGGCCGGTTGCATTCCTGTATTTTTCGATACAAGAACGGCTTACGATCAATATATTTGGCATTTGCCTAAGAATTATTCAAAATATTCGGTTTTTATACCCAAAAATGCCATTTTAAATGGGACAGAAGATCAGATTGAGAAGATATTGAGTGGTATATCAAGAGATCAAGTGTTAGCCATGAGGGGAGAGGTTATAAGTTTGATTCCCAAAGTGATATATGCAAATCCATCTTCTAGGTTGGAGACGCTTGAAGATGCTTTTGATTTTGCAATTAAAGGTGTTCTTGAAAGAGTAGAGGCAATCAGAAAGGATATAAAAGAGAACAAGAGTACTATCTTTTGATTTTGCATATAGAGAATATAGTTGAAAGATTCTTGGGAAATACTATTTATTTGGGTATTGAGACAGTTATATTTACCATTTTTTTTTTCCTTAGGTGTGAGCAAGATTACATTAGTTGTGTTGGCTTCTTTAATTTGTACTTATTTTTATATTCGTTGTATTTTTAATTAATATAAAAATATATAATTATAGAAATGAAAGAAACAATTATTCATGATTAATATGATATTGTGTTAAATTGATCTGAACTATTTATTTATATAAGAGCTACATGAAAATTCACATAAACGAATAACTTAAATTTATTTAAGATAATTCGGTTAGTCAGTGACAGAAGCATCATTACCTCCATGTACTTTATTTCAAGTTAATAAAATTTGTTTTTTATTCAAAAAGAAAAAAATCATTAGACAATACAATATATGTCGCAGTTAATAGTGGGAGGAAATCACTAGAATACAAAGTATATGTAATCTTTTTCTCCATGCAACTTTTTATCTCGTCATGGTTAAAGAATCTTGACGAGTTCTTTCATGATCTTAATGATTGATTTGAGATTAAATTTGATTTTTTTGTCTGCCATTAGGTCATCTTTTCCTCTTTTCCTATATCCGCAGCTGCTTTAACCACAAATTATTGAGAAGTTCTTTGGTGTCTTACATTGCTCGACATTCTTTATGTTACAATATTTATTTTATTATTTCTTAAAAAATACATAAAAATTAATAGATTTTACTGTTTAAATTTAAAATTTTATAGTTAATCTAAAACAATGAATAATTTTCTTCATTTCACACTGTTCACCATGGTTGTTGATTTGATATTCCCTATGTATCCAGCATTCTCCAAAGACCATCCCACGAAGGTTTCATTTTCCTTCCCTTGTTTGCTGCTATTTTCCATCAAAATTCTTTGTGGATTCTAGATGGAAAACATTATATTAACACTCAGCAGATTAAAGGGTTTTATACACTGAAATAGAAACTATAAGGATTAAAATAGAATCTTATTCAAACTGTAACAATCGTTAGTTTTTCTTCTTTTTTTTTTGGAATAAATTATTCTATTTATTTTTATAGTTTGACTTTTTTATAGTTTCAATTTGAATAATTTAATTTCTATACTGTAAGTCTAATTTTAATTTGATACTTCTGTATTTGTGTTAATCTTGTCTACATGTATATCATCTCATGAGATTGACAAATATCTCAAATCATTAATTTTGAATTCGAATAATTTGTAGTACATTTTCCAAAATTACATCAAAACTTTAAAAAATAAAAATAACAATAACAATAACAACCAGTGGCGGAGTCAGGAATTCAATGAAGAGGGGCACAAATTAATAATAATATTGATTTTATTTTCCTCATAATAAATAACAATGAGATATTACTAAACGTAAATATTAAGAGTTTATTTAGATAGATGTGAATTTTAAATTAAACGATTTGAGATTAAATTTTATACAAATATTGCAAAATAACTATTTTAAGTAGATTGAAAAATTAAAAAAGAAGATAAGTTGAGATAGAAATGATATATTTTAATAGAGAAATTCTATAAAACATACCGCAAAAAAAATGTCTATCATATGTCGCAGTTATGATCTTTGTGATCTTTAGTTATGACACATTGTAGTATTTGATATAACTTAGTTATAATTTCTTGTTATTGTTATTTTAGTTATGATTGAAGAGGTCTTTAATTATACGTCCAGTAATAATTCGTAATGACTCATTCTGATATTAGTTATGACTTATTGTAAAAAAAAAAAATTTTTTTTTTTTGGGTTATAATTGAAGACGTGTTATTTAGTTATAATTTATATGGTAGTCATTTTAGTTATGAATGAAAATAATTTAGTTATGAAAATTTATAATATCAATATCATAAAGTAATAACTAGTATATGGTATATCCTTTTTAATGGTGTATAATAGAAAGACTTATTTTAATAGGTTCATTATAATTAGAAAGAAAATTTATAATAGAAGGACTATTATAATTTGAAGAAAGGATATTATTATAATTTTATAAGAAATATGGGCCTTTTTAGAAAGTTGTCAAAAAAAAGTCAGCTTTTTAGTTTTTTAACATTTTTAGCTAAAAAATTTAGTTTTTTTACTCAAAATAACCCAACTTTTTGCCAAAGAAACTACTAAAAAAATCAAAAAATTAAAAAATTAATTTTTTACCAACTTTCTAAAACATCACATAATTATCAAAACTTGAAGAGGGACACGTGTTCCTGGACATACACTGCCTTCGCCCCCGACAACAACAGAACATGCTCCTTTTCTTTTCCTCTTCGCCTTCCAAAATGATATACTGCATGCAATGCATTATAGATAATTTAAATTCGTTTTATTTCAATCTCTAACGTAAAAAAAAAAATAAAAATAAAAAAACGGAGTCACAAAAAGAAGCGTCCAACAGAACAAGAGAAGGAAAAACAAAAGAAAAAAACTGGAAAAAGCAAGCGAAAACGGAACTTCTTCCATCTGAATCCTCGAGAAAAGCATGCTGAGAAGCCATTCTAGTCAAAGAAGGACTATCACGCGAAAAAGACAAATTTATCAATTAAAATAGTGAAACTTATCTCTTATTTTAAAAAAAATATATATATATATAAATAAATTAACAAATATCAATAATAAATTATTTTATTAAATTTTTTTAAAAATAAATAAACAAATATTAAATAATAAATAATATAAAATAATATTTTAAAACTATCAAATAATCACTGAACAAATAGTATTGAAAAGTCATCTTCGGAACCATCACCGACTTCCCTGACGCAAATACGGCTAAAAGACACGAAACAAGAAGACAAGCATAAATTACTCCACTGAGATAGCCGATATTACCGCTTGACGAGTCCCAGCTAAGCAGCCAGGAATGTTTAGAATTCTTAATATTTTATTAAATATCTTATGAATGTAAGATTCATATTATATAAATTTTATATTCATATAAAATATTTAAAATCACTAACATTTTCCTAAATGAATTGGAGTACCCGAAATGCCAATCAATGCTTTCAAAACAGTCCCCATTCTAGCTTAAGTTGCCGTTTGGCAACAACCTTTTTTCTTTTTTTTTTTCTTTTTTCTGTTAAATAAATATAAAAAAATTAAATAAATTAATAAATAAAATATTATATCAACTAAATTAAAAAAAGTCAAAAATTCTTTTTAAACGAAATTAATTTAGCCAAAATTAAAAAATCAAGCTAAGTTAATTATGTAACAACCCGAAAATTTAAGTTGTCCCTTAAATTTTATTTTAGTATTATTTAATTATAAATGAGAAAAACTTTAAATGTTTAATTAAATATTTCGTAAGAGTAAAATAAAATACTAAATGTTATGGATATATGAGATAAAATATAATTAAATTAGGAATTATTTATTATAAAAAAAAGGGCATATAATTAATTAAAGATTTGGATCAAAGTAAAATTAAACCTAAAGTCAAATATGTTAGATAAGTATGAATTAATGGTTTGGGACATGTAGCCTTGTGGCTTGGTGCAAAGAATGACGCGTGGCAACCTGGTGGCTTGTTGGCCATGGCTATCTCTTTATAAAAGGGAGGATTTGCTGGGGTAAAGGGAAAAAGAAGGAAAACAAACTAAGAAAGAAGAAGAAAATACTGAAAATCAAGAAGGTTTTTTTATAGTGGAAAGAAAGAGTAAGGTATTAATCTTAAAGTGAGTTATATTATATCTTGAATTACCATAATATATTTTATGTATGTTTTGACTTACCATAATTTATTTTATACAAGTTATGTTTTATAAGTTATATTAATATTTTAATTACGTGGATTAATTTCTGAACTTTATTTGTTTAAAATGAAACTCATGGATATATTTGTTTAAATCTTAAAGAATATTTGGCTATGACCTTATAAACAATTATGTTTTATAAGCACCACCACGGAGATCCCATGCCTTGGGAGAGTTAAATAACCATTGGCCCTTTGATTAGTCACTTTTGACCCTCTGTCTGTCATGGATCCACTGGCACTCTGAGCAAAGTGTTGTACAGAGCTAAGTGCTACACTATTATGGGAGCCACCTCTAGAGTTTGTACGAGCCACCTCTTGAGTCCATACATCTGTTATGTTCCGTTCTGTACCGTGGTTATGATTATTTTGTATTATATGTTAAATAATTTCCGTATTATATATCCTGTATTTTAATATCAAGTTCTGTTTAGCCAACAATTATCCATGGTGAATTTTATGTCCTTATACTCTTAGTATAATATTTCTCACTCTGTCATGTGCTTATAGTTGTTTACCACTTTTAGGTGAAATGTCAGGGTCGGCGCGTGGGGTAGACACAAAGCACTTGTTAGACATTATTCAGCTTTGACAATTTAATTAAATAGAAGTTCCAATGATTATTTTGATACTCTCACTTAAATATTATTTCCGCTCACGTTTATTTATTTATTCCAAAATTGGCTGGAGATAATTTTAGTTACTGATCATCACGATACTTAACTCTTGAGTACGGGGAGCAGGTCATGACAAACTCTTTCTAAATGAAGTGTTAGGGTTCATTTGGCATTGGCTTTTCTAGCCAACATTTTTGTGTTAAAATATTTTTTAGTCTTATTTGGTTTTGGTTTTGAGATTTTTTTGACTTTTGTGAGAAAAAAATGTAATGACTATTGATAAAAAGTAATATTTTATCTTATTGACTTATATAACGTATTTTATCTTATTATGTTTGTCACGCCCCAAGCTCCGTGACAACGCCGCACACTCATATAAGTGAGCATGCAAGGCTAAGAATCCAATCACATAACCCACAATGTAAAATACTCAAATTAAATCCTTAATTGTCATAATGTCAAAATCCATAAAACACAAATAGTTCTTATATGAAAATGTCCACCAAGTCCACTAATTTAATCCATTAACAAAATAATGATCCAAGTACTTAAATCATAGTCCTACTCTCGGCACTCCCACATGTAAAAATCCCGCGCAGCTCTACTCTTCAGAGTCTGAAAAAAAAAAGAAAAAGGATAAGCTAGATAGCCCAGTAAATAACCAACCATCACTGTT